AGATAGACTGAACTTGTTGATATTATTCAACCAAAGATATTTGAAAGAATTCTTACTACTTAAATACACCTTATGTGTGTGTGTTTTGGTGTATATATATATATAATAAAAATGAGGAGTGGTATATCCCCAAAGAGGTTTGATGATTGTTTGGCTAAATAATTAATTCCCTAAGTCAATAATTATTAGAGCACATTTCAAATACTATCCAACAACCTAAATCTCAAAGCACTTAAAATAGATAACTAAAAATGTAGCAGGGTTAAATAGGAATATTTGAATCATAACTTTGGGGATCAGTGTGAAATATGATACTTGAATTCCTCAATTGTTCTTATATAGACAGCCTAGCAGTTGGATTTGGTGACAACAGAGAATATTTTACCATTGACTTGTGTAATTAGCATCTCTTGGATAGTTTCAGCTAACAAGAACCCAAATGTTGCAATATCTCATTCTCCAAACTTTGAAAATGATCTAACCAAAACATGAAGGAAATATTTGAATTTAGCATCAAATGGTCTTGAAGCAACAATTTGTAGAGATGAATACTTTGTATATAAAACTAGAAGCAAAATGAAACCATTTTGTTAGAAAGAAAAGCATTTAGCCCAAACCTTAAAAACAACATTCTTATGAAAACTGGACGAGGAGCATAAAAGAAAGTAATTAAGTTCATCTGTAGGTTGTCCAATTGTAAACATACAATGGGGTCCTCACCCAGCTTTCTCCCAATCAACTAATGACTACCCCCCACAATGTCTTCATTTTTGTTCATGTCAGTGTGCACCAAAAACTAGGAAAAGACCGCCAAACATTCACATGGAAACAATGGCTGAAAACAAACACCACAGCAAGAAACAGGGAATCAAACCATTTTCAATATATTTAGGAGTTTTATCCAGGACTTTGCTTGCTCAATCTGGATGGTTAGGTAGATGACAGGACAACTGCCATGTTGGGCTAACAGATCAGCTCTTCTTAACACCAACTTTATTCCCATCCCCACATCACAATGTGTGACTGGCAACACAAACGGACAGCATCAGAACTACCCAATGGACACTCTGTCCCTTGCCAAGTGTGGACCAGAACTGACTTCCTCAATTCCAATTGTGACTGTTTAATGTCCGGTTTTGTAGTCAGTTGACCCCAAAAGCTTGTATTTGTTTATTCTTTATAAAGTCCAACTTCAAAGATCCTACATGACAACCATAAACACAAAACACGAGATCAAGATAAAATCTTACCGCTTCTTCTTTCTATCACTATAAAATAACAAATCTATCTGAACTAAATTGAGATGAAAGCTTGTAGTATTCTCAGAATTATAAAGATAAAAGCAGCCAACTTGTAGCTGTTCACTTAACCTATTTTCGTTCTTACCTAATTGGGCCAGTCCTGTAACTGCAAGCAAGCAATTGAAAATATCATATTGGTCTTGCTAATTATAATAACAGTGTATAATCTAGAGCAGTGTATGTTGAATTTTATGAAAATTTCAATTGCAGTTAAATTCAGCTTGTTTATTTATTGCAATGGTTAAAGAACCGCTAGTCAATAAATTCAGAAGTTCTGTGACAATATTCAGACGCAGATCAATCCTATGGACAAATATCCTCTGAGTCAAAATTAATACAAGAAAACATGAGCAAGAATTATGTGTATTACATGCCTTACAGTTGCAGTAAAAGATATAAAGTTGAAACCAGCTGTCCTCTAAAATAAGTGCTGGGGAACATCAAAAAGATGTCATTAGGCGCGAGACAATGAAATCAGGCATGGCTGATCATGTATGGAAGGAAACGGGTCGTCACATCTGGAATAAAGTAGAGTCAAACATCTGAAAGTATCAGCGCATATACTAAACGATGAGGACCTCCTTAGTAAGCTTAGTATATAAATAGATACCGTATGGGAGACATTAAATAAAGAGAAATAAAAGAGACGCTTCGGTGAAAAGCAGAAGGCAGATTAGTTTTAATGTTCCAAGTCCTACACTCAGCATTGCCACTCCCGCCTAGTGCATTCAAGTGCTATTCTGTAATTGTTAGTCCAGTCCCCGGTAATGCAAACTCAATGGAACCAGGCAAGCAATAACTAGGTAGTACTGAATATGAACTATACTAGACATGGTCTGTGGAACGAAAATAATAAATGGTTCATTTTGAAATTCCCTAAAGGTTAACATGCACCTGATGGCCGAAACGTTGTCATAATAACAAAAATTAGGACAATAGACCGAGTGTAAATATTCTTTGTGGTACTATAGACATCAACGTTAACAAGGAAAGAGGTGGTTCAATCTCGAGTGTTTCTGCTTGATGGATCATCAGATGGTTACTTTTGAAGTTCGTTCTTCTTATCGGCATCCACTTTGAGCGAAAGGGAAGTAAAGAAATGAATTAAGGGTTTTTGGAAATCAAGAGGCAATAAAACCGGAAATAGGTTATCTCTAGGCACTGGTTTATTTTAACAGTCAGACTTGGGCTCGGAGAGTTCCGATCGGCTCTTAGCGAGTGGGAGAAGGACTTGTCTGTCGTGTGGTTCCCCTACCATCCGTTCGTATTGCTAGTTACCACGTCGGGATGAGTAGATAGTCAGCGAGTTGAGTGGGGGGGAGCTGTTAGACCAACATAGCAGAAGTTGCCCCAAGTATCACCTACCTACCGACCCAGAGTTGCAGGCTAAAACCCGAATAAAACAATATATGAGAAACAGGGTTCGCGTTCTTATTTCCCGACGTGGCTGTTGTCTTTTACCGTGTTACCTTGTGAGCATTCAGCGGGCCCTTCCTCAGCTGTCAGTGCACACCGACAAGATCGAAAATTGAAAAGCAACGTGAGGTAATACCTGGCCAGTCAGTGGTAAGCTTGGGCAAGAGTCGCAATGTATGTTTACACCTTTTCCTGATACGAGTTTATCACAGTATTTGGTGTGCATATATATTATATATATATATATATATATTGGGAACACATGTACCATACTCACTTGCAGATTGACCTGTCACCTGTCGAAACTCAGTGCAATCCGTGCACACATCATGAATGAACAAAATCCAACTATAAACATATAAGTAGTGGATAATGCCAAAATACTTTATAGCAAGGGTAAACTCAAAATCCTAGAAGCTATTATATAAAATAAACAGCCCACATGAAATAAAATATTCCCCACAGATAATATCTTGAAGTGCATATGATATAATTAATATGCGCACATATTAGTATTAAAAAAAATCGAATTCTTTTTGTACAGCTTCGTTTCCAATAGCCTTTACACATGACGTCACGCTAGACCATTTCAAAAATCCGACTTCCCAAAGATTACCAGGATGCAAACAAAAGAATTCTAACTGGCATACAGACACCACATAAGTTCTTGATAATGACTGCGATTGTCGAAAGTACTTGAACAAAAATAACAAAATATGAACTTCGGACAATTTATCCACAACTTCGAGCACAATACATAGACAGACTATATATATTGTAATTATTTTTTTTTTTAAATATGATTCCTTCGCTACATAAGAGTTCTCATGTTTCAAAAACAGGAGCCAAAAACTCCAATATAATTATTAAAATTAAATTGAATTAAAGTATCAAGCTCTGTTTCATCCTCAATCGAAATTTTATTGTGTATATATCATATACTCAAATAACTATATAATAAAAAAAACAGGATTAAATTCTTATATCGGGCACGCATGTACCACACTGTCTTGTAGGTTGATGTGTGCATATTCATATATCCTTTTTTGTGTGCCTCGCTCTCAATAACCGTTACACATGACGTCACTGGAAACTATTTCCGAAGAATATCACGATGTAGACAAAGGAATTCTGGTTAACACACAGATACCACATTGGTTCCTGAAAATAAGTGAGGCGGTCGAAATTAATTGAATAAGACAACAGCACAAGCATGAACTTTATCCACAATTTTGATTCCCTATACACGCCTTATTCAAAAATCGGAAAAAAAAAAACAATTAAAAAAATTAAACAGACCATGTCAGTTCTTTTTAATCAATGTTTTTAATAGTGATCCATAAAATGTAATAATTGTGCCAAGAATTCTCTGGCTATTTTTCAGATAAGAACACTTCTCCATTTTCATTGTGAAGCCAAACCTTATCTTTTTAATTTAGTTTTTTGTGTGTGCAACTTTTGCTATTCCTACTATCAGTATATTTATAACTTTTTTCAGCTGTACTGAAGTACGAAAAGAGCTTTCTTCTTTTTCTTTGTAGTGCAAAATAAAAAAAAATGTAGCAATTATAAAATTCCAATATAAATAACCATACAAAAATATATTTGAATGTTGCCTACTCTTCCCAAAATTATGAATAATATTCACTTTTGTTCACTAAATTCAATGTTTTCGTGCTTTTCCAGTTCCTTTCTTCCATGGCCTTAATGATTTTAAATGCCTTACCTGTTTAGTGATCTAATAGATAAGTGGCTGCGTCTTTACATTTTGAGGATAACCAGTTGGCAGTTTTAAGGTTGCTGCACGGATACGTGCCCTTTCATGTACTTCTGGTGGTGAAACCTGAGACCACTTTATTGCTTTAATCTTAGCTACCTTCTAGCTAGTTTACTTTGGCTTTTCTCCTCCTTAAAATTCTTTTCATTATAGTTACCATTAAAAATGATAAAAGTAAACAAAATATCACCTACCCCCCTCAGCCTTTCTTTCAACAATGTTTGTAGTATCTGTACCAATTTTTAGTGAAACTTATTTAAACTCTTAAGTCTACCAGTGAATTTTGTGTTCCAAATTACCTTACTCTTTGTCAAAAGGATTCTAGGGTACATATGCATCGTCTTGTTGTTTACACGCAATGGTAATGGAAACGTCTCTTGAGTCACCGGATGATGCTTTCATGTGCTTTCGACTTTCTTTATTGAACTCTGTTCACTACCACTTTTGCTTTTATCGCTCACTTTCTTCTTAGAACTGGTAACATATTAGAAAAATACATCTAACAGTGTAGTATCTCTCTCTCTCTCTCTCTCTCTCTCTCTCTCTCTCTCTCTCTCTCTTCATCTGCGAACGTATTTATATTTGGTGATTTTAATTCTCATCATGTTAAATGGCTTAATCATTTTAACGTTACTGATGATGCTTGTATTCAGTAATCAAGCTTATAATCTTTTAGTTGCTCAGTCTCTCGGCCAAAGAGTAGATTTACTTACTCCTTAATAATTCTAACCAATATGCCTCTCTACTCGATTTGTTCCTTACATCCACTCCTGGCTCTTGTTGATCCTCACAAATCTGTCCTCTTGGCAGTTCGGATCACACTGTAGTGTCTATTGATATTGTAACAGAACACTGGTCCTGTTCAAACGCTTTGTTATGGGGTCCACCCCTTTTCGATCTGTGAATAGTTTCTCTCCGCCAAAAGGGATCTAAGGGGGGTGTTATAGGATCCACCCCTTTTTGATACAAGTGGACTCGCCTAGTGTGTACTTGTACTGCTGCCGGTGAATACCCGGGAGTCGGAGAGTGATACAGTGAGAGAGTGAGGTAACCGCTTTGTAGGAGTCACAGTTGCGAGCACGTAGACTCAGAAGGAAGTCCTACTTCGATACTGAATTTCCCAGACTGTATATATATTATTATTGCTACTAACCGCATTTCTAGATCTACTAACAGTATTACCAATTGTATTAAAAAGGGGTGGACCCCATAACACGCTTAATTGCATGAAATCGCTGGGTGGTAATCTGGAGGGATTACTAATTTGATAATTATTAAAATTCTCAGAAGAATAGATTGAATGGTTGAAAGAAAGATAGAAAAGGGAATGAGTAAATAATTATGTTTTAAACAATAAAATGAATTTAAGATGGATTCCAAAGAGAATCGCACGCAGAAATAACTAGTCAAGATTCAGTAAAATTTAGCAAAACTAAATTTTTCCTCAATCCTTCGATAAGAAGAAGATATGATTACTTTCCATGGCCTTGAGACGCAAATTTCTGGGTTTGTTTATATTAATACTATTCAACGAAAACGCTATTCTTACAGAAAAAAGTGACCTAAAATTCTTAAACAGGGGAAACGAGATGTGTTATGAAAAACTTCTGAGAACCTGAATTCGGGGTTTGTTTACATTAATACTATTCGCCACAAACATTATTCTTTCAAAAAAAAAAAAAAGAGTGAACGAAATTCTTTAAACAAAGATTCATGTGATTTATGAAAAGATTTCCTAAGATAAGGCAATCGGAAGTGGAAAAATTAGATACATCAATCTCAAATTTTAGCTGGGTATTTATATTTACGTAGACTCAAAACAAAAAAGAGAGTCGGGGCAGAGAGCGAGAGAGAGAGAGAGAGTCAGCTCGGATTTGCTCTGTATTGCATCGCAAGACAGGTGTCGCTAAAGAACACACCCGAAATGCCAGTGACCGGATCGAATATACACCCGCCGAACAGAAAAATTAAGCGAGAGGTGACCGGCTAGTCATTGCTTCGGCAATTACTACAGCATTCTCAAGCCACCATCCAGCGGGTTTAAAAGAACTTAATTCTTCAGTAGATAATAGAGACAGCTAAGAAAATTGCTCATTTCTCTTCTGCGGTGTACAACGTACATATTGGTCAACTACTAGATTTCGATGTCAGCTTCAATATCGTAATATTTGCAGAAACCCAAATCAACTGTATCGAGATAACAAATCGGGCCCCAACCGAGGAGAGGGAAAAAGCCGAACGATCTCGATTCCGACGTATGAGGCCAAGTAGTTCAGTTTAGAACTTAACCATTAGAATAACCATACAGGCGGTTTGATTATGAAGATGAAGGCCTGTGCAGCTTCCCTTTTCGGATGAGGAGATAACAGAGAAATAGTGAATAGTCTACGACGAAGTCTTCAAACAAACCTTAACCAAGGCAAGAGAGAATGTGTATCTGCGCTTATCTCAGATTGTTTATATGAGTGTGTTTGAGAGTGTCACCCCAAACGGACACAGAGGAGAATTTCCCGAATCCCGCCTCCAAACTTAATCAAACACAAACAAGCATAAACAGATTCAATTTTTAAAAAATAAACCAGTTTGTCTGATGATCACAAAAGCGTGAAACCCAGAGTCACAAACTCATATCCATACAACTGAATATGTTAGCTTTGTCACTGATATACATATTTCTAAAAATATTTCTTCGTAATTTAAATGTATACTTTCTGCCGGAAGTAAGGTGTTAAGCCTTTAGCACTTCCCTGAGTCATGTATGAATACCACACATCCCCAACATCTAACCTATATTTTAACTTTTCAAATTTAGCGTTGACTTTGCTTCTGATTAGTTAAAAGAGACACACCCATAAGATCTAAAAATCTGGTTCCGCCCTCCATATTAACTCTTTAATAAGCAAACATGATGTTTTCTATTTTCAAATGTAAATCATTTTCACCAAAGTTACCGACCATTACCTAATGAAGAGATAAAAACATTGTCTCGACACATAGAAATTTCAGTGTCGCTATGTAAAATATTTTTAATGAAAATATCATTATATATATATATATATATATATATATATATATATATATATATAAAGAGAAAGAACAGTAAGATATATAATCCGGTGTTCTTATTAATTATTAATATTTTTACAAAAATAAAATATACTCTTCTGAGACTTTATTAGAGGAAGATAAGGTTCATATATATATATATATATATATATATATATATATATATATATATATATATATATATAAAAGTGAACATTGAAGTCAACACTTAGAGGCGACAGGCTGTTTCATGCTAGACGCAATCGTCAGGCGTATCTAGAAACATATAAATATATATATATATATATATAGATAGATAGATAGATAGATAGATAGATAGATATTAGTGGTAAATTTCCGGAGTTTATTTACGATTCCAATGGAATAAATTATGACCATGGAATATTAGTGTTTAAGCCTTTTATTATATATATATATATATATATATATATATATATATATATATATATATATATATACACGAACCTTATCTTCCTCTAATAAAGTTTCAGAAAAGTATATTTTATTTTTGAATTTTTTTAAATAAAGATAATTACGTTGTGCTGAGAGAATTGTAAATATGGTTAAAACAACGATTTCAACAACAAAAAAAACACACATTCCAATTATGTTCAGTCTGACATATATATATATATATATATATATATATATATATATATATATATATATATATATATATATATATAAAACTGTTTTATTTGTTTTGGAGGATTTGCTGTCCACCCTAACTCATAGGTACATACACACATTTAGCCATATTCCTGATGAAGATAAAGAATCAAGCAGACCTGATTCAAATTGCAAACTATTTTTCTCTTGGTTTTGTCTTCTTAAGCAATCAACTTGAAATCATGCATTCAAAAGATGAACTAGTGGCTTGAAAAAAAAGGGTGTCAGTGTATAACGATCTCTCTCTCTCTCTCTCTCTCTCTCTCTCTCTCTCTCTCTCTCTCTCTCTCCCCTCTCTTCCCTATTGCCAAAAGAGGTCATCAATTCTGTCTCGGTTCTAATCATTAAAACATCTGACTCTAAGAACTTACAAAGCTGAATCAACTACAGTCTAATATTCTGAAATTCACTTTTTGCAGAATTAAAAAAAATATTTGTGTTCAATTCGGTTTATTGTAGTAACCTGGCACTGCGATACCATTAATCTTCTGAGTTGACCCCTTGTTGCCTTCCATCAGTATGACTGATGTTATCCTCCAGACTAGTTGAGCCTTCTCGGGCTCACGTTTTCTGTTGATATGAAGTGGAAAGACTATACTGAATCGATTGGTAGGTCAGCTACTAAGAAAGTTTATTCACTATGTCGGGTGAGCCAATTTTTCTCCAGTATTTATCTTACATATCAGTATGTCTACCATTCGTCCATGCTTACAATATTGCTATCACATATGGACCGGTGCCTCTGCCATTTAGCTGAGCTCCTTGATAAGATCCAAAGAAGAATCTGCAATATTATTGGTCCTGATCTGGTGGCTCAGCTCCAGTCACTTTCCCACTGCCCTAAGGTCGCCTCTCTATGTCTTTTCTATAAATACTTTCATGCTAATTGTTCGAATGTGCTCTTCGATGTGGTGCTCTTCGATTTTGTTGTTTTTTATCCCCACCCACAGACAATGAATTGTACATATGGGGACTAGTTAGGATTTTTATAGAGACAATGAGGTATTATGGTGAATGTAGTAAGAAAGGTAAGAATGTGTCGTTTTGGTGTTAGGAATATTGTTGGTATGTTTGGGTCAGTGTTTGTGGCTAGCTAAGTTTAATATTAAGACAGAAGAAGACCGTACTTTTCCCCCATTCCCCATTTTGGCCTTGTGCCACATTTCTGTATATAACAGAATAAATATTGCTCTTCGCTATGGTACCTAGACTTTTTTTTTTAATTTAAGCCCAGCACTAGACTGGCGTCGAGATCTCATCAATTTAGAGTTGAGATGTCTAGATGTAGCCGTATATTCTATGCTAACAATTTCTTCTTTTGCACTTCTCGCTTATGGAACCCACTTTCGGTTCCATCCTTTCCAGCCAATTTTAATCGGCAAAAATTTAAATGCAATGTCAATCGCTATCTACTGTCCACCTGTCTCTTTCTGCTCATCATTAATGTTTCCGTTCCTAATTCTTCCACACTCTGTAACCCCTTGTGTTTTAGTGGCATTACTGCCTTGCTTGAGGTGATTCCGTTTATAAAGAAAATATTTATGAAACTTAACTTACTTTTTGCACAAGACCACAAATATCGGGCACCCAGAGAGAATTGTAGATGTTAACAAGCTTGTGGGGTTTGTGTGTATTTTAGGTGAAGATGTGTGTTCGATATATAAACAAAGAATACAAAAAAAAACAAAAGACAATTGACGTTCTGCTACGGACATTTATGTTGATTGTATTGAAAAAAAGTTAAATGTCTTGTTGCGGGCGGTATATTGGTCCGCAAACAGATATTGACTGATGGAAGACAACAACAAAATAGCGTTGTCCTGGGAAGGACAGTTTTGGTAAACGCTGGGGATTGTTTTCCTGAAAAGAACAGTTTTGTGGTCACTGGGGGGAGGCCTGAAAAGGGCAGTTTTGTGGTTGCTGAAGACTGAAGAGCATTTCCTTGAAAAGGACAGATTATTACACATCGTTGGCAAGGATATCAGGAGCGGGAAGCCTGTTGGAGCTAACTGTAGCGGCAGGAGTTGGAAACTGCTCGAGCAGGAGGCCTACTGGAGATGACTAGAGCGACGATCAATGGCAAGCTGGAGATGATGATAGCTTGCTAGCTGGAACTGCTGCTGATGGCTAGAGTTGCTTTTCAATGTTTGGCTAATAAACACAACTAGAGACCAAGGCCTTCAAAGCAAATGTAAGAGTTTTATTTTGCAACAAGTATTTATAAACAGAAATAAAAATGCCGTTAGTTTTGGCGAATTTTTAAGTTTAAGAGATGCTCATAAATATGTTGCAGTTGGTATTTTGAACCGCAAACAGATATTGAATGACGAAAGACAACAAAGAAAATGAAGACTTGTGTAAAAAAAATATATTGCCAAGTTTATTTTTGTTAAAGAAAAATACATAAACAAAAATAATGTTACAGTGCACTAGGCAAAAAAATAACTCTGCAAGCTTATGTAGAAGGTGAGAATAACGTTGTCCTGAGAAGGACAGTTTTAGTAGTCGCTGGGAGGCGTTTTCCCGAAAAGGTCAGTTTCGTGGTCACTGGAGAGCCTTGTCCTGAAAAGGACAGTTTTGTAGTTACTGAAGAGCATAGCCCTGAAAAAAAAACATCGTTGGCAAGGGTGGCTGGAGCGGCAGGAGCTGGAGGCCTACTGGAGATGGCTGAAGTGATGATGATGATGGCTGGCTAGCTGGAACTGCTGCTGATGGCTGAAGCCGTGGGCTGGCTTTCGGCTGCTGTTGGAACAGATACTACACTTTGATCCTAATCAGTTGTGGCCCAGATGGGATGCGACACAAGGTCAGATTTAATGTGGGCATCCCGAACACGTACAATCAAGCCAAGTACAAAAACTACCCAAGCCCCCATCGGTTGCGTTGGCCTCGGTGGCGACCACCGATTTCCCTCTCTAGTGCAATGAAAGGGTGCAACCTCGGGCAGGTGTTCCCTAGAGCCGGGCACCTCAAAGTATTATTTTTCTCAACTGCATCTCTGTCCACGGACAGAGCCACAAAGAACTCGCACTCTGTAAGAAGACAGAGATGCAACTGTGAAATGATACGCATCTCATATCAGGGGCAGGGAACGCTTGGGTATTTATAAACGCCTTCCACTCCCATTCAGATTTTTTCTTCCAAGCTCGCCTGTTATAGTGTAAAAAATTAGGAGCATCTTTATTTCTGAAATGAAAATTACAACTTTCTCCAAAGTAACTTTTCTTGCTTTTTTTTATTAGCAAATTCTTCAATGACATCGTTAAAAACTATTTCATCTGTCAATTGATAGTATTGCAAGATTTCTTAATTGCAAGGTGTTCATAGTAGATCTTAAGTAATTCTTAATCAGTTTTAGTTTCGAAACACTTCTCTTACAGGTAGTTGAAGTATTGAGTGACAATGACGAGGAAACACACGTGTTATATTTAACGAAACAAGATAAGGAATTTATTTACAAATTTACACATTTGAAGTTGTCAATAGTTTGTTTCAGGAAAAAGAATCAAATATTTAAAGTTCGTAGTTTCGATGAATTGTCAAGAGGAGAAAATGTTTATATTAAATCATCGGACACAAAGTAATATTCCCAAATATTTAAAACAAATTGAGATAGTTCGTTTTTCACATAAAAGTTATACAGTTGTATTGAACATGTATGAAAAGATATATTTTAAGGTACTTAGCTTTGGAGTTGAATAGAGTTCTTTGAAATTGCCCTGCTTTTATTAGAGGCTGATAATGTATCAGCGTGTAATTTCACACTGGCGTTATTCAGAGGCGTGGAACTCTGCCTCCTGCTTCTTTCTGCTTCTCTCTCTCTCTCTCTTCTCTCTGGTTGCTTGGTTTGATTCAACTTTTTCTGCCTATTTATATCAAAAATCGATTTAACATCAGCTCGTTACTTTTTTCTCAGTTTGTAAGCCGCTCCCTTTTCCATTGGTCAAAATAAATTTTCACATAGGCTCGTTAAACTTTGCCTTGGTCTTTTCATCAGCCTGGAGCCAATCCTTTTTTTCTATTGGTCAAAATAAATTTTCGCATAGGCTCCTGAATTTGAAAACTGTGGAGAAAAGAGAATTATTTATATTTCATATTCATCACATAGTAACACAAACAAAAATTGTCAGGAAAATTCGAAGGATTACTATTATATTTGGAACCGAGTTCCCAAGGTTATACTTTTGAATAAGCTGCAAAAGTTTAAGTGGGCCTTCTTTACACATCTGTATAGCAGGTTTAATAGCAGCAACAACAATAAAATACTGAAGTCTTATTCTCTTGACGAGGAACTCCTCTTTATCAATGCCATCTGACACTCATATTTATCATCCAAAAGATTCAACCCATCCTGGGTATGACGATAAACTGCATCCGCGTCCTCGGTAAGACGATAAACTACGTCCAACAGCAAGGCTTCTGATCAGGAGGTTTTGAGGATCGTGGAACCACCACTTAATTGCTGGTGTTCCCAGGTCCACCCTGACCCGGGTGGTAGCATCTGTTAGGGTCCCAGCTATGGGCAAACAGTTAACCCCGAAATTGAAAAGTGTAAAAATAGGTTTTAATAACAGAAATACTTTGTAAAAAATTATTACCAGAAATAATTTTTTGAAGAAAAAAAAAAACAAACTATTACCAGCAATACGTTTTTTGAAAGTAATATTACCAGCTATACAATTTTGAGGAAAAATATTACCAGAAATAGATTTTTGACAAAACAAAAATATTACTAGGGGAAAGAATAAAAAAGAAAGTTGTCGACATCAAATGACCCATTGAGGTTGATATGCCGTAAACCAAACCAAACCAAACCAAACCAAACAAGCCAAACCAAAACAAACAAACAAACAAACAAAAAGATTCAACAGGGTAAGGAAGGCATATTTCTCAGCAAGTTCATGAAATCTCAAAGTTATTTCTTGGATCACTCTGTCTAACGTTCATACAAGGATAAAATATCCAGACACAAAATATTAGTAAAAGTCCGTTTACTCACTTGAGATTTTGCGGCCTGTGTTGTGTTGAAGTAAATAGGTCTTTTCTCCTTGGTGAGAGAGAGAGAGAGAGAGGACCGTTTAAGTCTCGCTGAGTGATTAACAGCCTATATGTATGAGGGTCAAGCAGCTCAGTTCCTAGGAACCGACAGCTCAAATACCAGCACATATGATTTGATTATAGTGGTGAAGGCTTTGTGCAGAACCACACATTTTGAAGGGCCGAATACAAAGACCTGGTGCACTATGTGCCACAAAGTCCCCAAGCAACCCACCGCAGGTTTTGAATTCAGAGTTGCTTTTTGACCAGTTGCCATCCAAGGCTATAGAACCCAGTCTGTCCT